CTACTCTGGTTCTGCCGCTCTCCTGTCGGTGTTACCAGACCAGCCACCTCTCCCTCCCCTCCCAGGTGCCGTCCCACCTCTATCCAGAGACTGCCCACGTATTCCAGGGGATGAGGGAAGTGTCTCTCTCTAGGTCTGTTTACCTGCCCCAGGTCCGGAGGGTCCCTCCCAGCAGTGATATTCCCAGGCCTACTGTCACCCCCTTTTTGTGTTCATTAGGTTTGTTTTAGGTTCCCCTTACCTTCCTCGGGAGTATCTTATCTCGAATCCTAATCTCTAAATCATTAAAATATTTATTATTGAAAATTCACCATAAGAGACTGGACCCGATGTTACAAGTGCTACCAAGACGCCTAACCCAGCCCCATCGATTAAAATTGCAGAACAACAAGCTTTGTTAACTTGTGCAGCTGGAGGGCGTGACAATTCTTTGACAGGGAGTCCTATCCTACACACTCCACTCTGACCCAGCGCTCTGGAAATGTGGCTTCCAGCCCATCACGGGCAGTTCTGTGTTGCTTCCTTGCTCTTGATTGAGAAGGAGGTACAGCCCTCCACCAGGAGTGGGGACGCCAGAGACGAAGGTCACAAAGAGGTGCAGCAAGCCATGAGCAACCTTTACAGCCGGTTTCAGACAGGATGAGGATCCACACCCACTTCCGCAGCCAGCGCTGCCAGTGCTGAGCTCCAAAACCACCAGCCCTCTGTAGAGTCTTTCCACTCACAAGTCCCCAGTGGAACGTGAAGGCCAGACAGGCTTGGAGAGCCCACTGCCATCCAGGTCCCGTCCCTCACTGTTTCCCTTGCATTTAGCTAGGCCTCCACCTTGGCCCCGTCCTCCACCCTGAGGATACCTGGGGATTTCTTCCCAGGCAATTGCTCGAGGACAGTTAGTTGGTGTGGCGTCCCCTTAGCCCCTTCAGACGGGGATAGTCTCTAACACTGTCTCCAGATGCCTTTGGCATCTCCTCTCCTACCCTTTCTCTGCTCTCTTGGATGAGCTTATCATTAACCTCCCCCAAGTCCTGCCCAACTAAAACATCCTTAGATCTAAAGTCAGGGGGGCGGGGGTCTTTAAAGATGGCTTGGCATCATGCCCTTCCACTCGGCCTTGTCTGATCTCCTACGGCTGGAGAAGCCAGGGAACCTGGGGGAGGAGAAGGCTCTTGGCAAGCAGTCGGAGGTTTAGATTCCAAAGATGACCATCCCTATCACCCTGAATTCCCACCACTGCCCCCATCCCTTCAAGTCTGGCTCCACCCAACTTTCTCTTCATTCCCCAGCTCCCACCCCAGTTAGACAATACTGACCCTGAGGAGCCCTCTCAGTCAGTGCTAGGGGCCTGGCCAGGCTCCTTCTGGGCATCTGTGGTCTCCTGAAACCTTCCGGGGAGCAGATTCTGGGTTCTCTGGGTTCTCCACTGCTGTCTGGGGCTGGAGGCAGGACTGGAGCCTGGTGAGATGAGCCATCAGCTGGGCAGTGCAGTGATGCCCCCCGTCAACCCAGGGTCTGTCCCCCGCACACCCTGACCACCTCACCATCACTTGACCAGGACGGCTTCTCCTCATCAGGCGAGAGTGTCTGGGAGGGGCTGGACCAGGGCCTGGACAGGGAAGAGGCTGAAGCCTCACCCCACAGTTCCTGCTGCTGCTGTTGATGGAGCTAAATGGAACGAAGAAGAATGATGGGCTTCCTTTCTGCCCCTCAGTGTGAAGCACAGCCCCTGGACTAGGTGCAGGGGGTTTTAAAACCTCCTCTTCCAGCTCCCATTGTGTACCTCCTTACACTCTACCCCACGCTCAGTCTCCATTTCATTCAGCTGCTTTCTCCCTACATGTCTCTTTCTGGCACCCTTCTGCTCACCTGGTGCAGGTAGATGGCATGCAGACTCATCTCAGCAGAAGCAAGCTCTGGGAGCTGGGCCAGCTTCTGGCCCCCAGTGCCTCCTGGGGACACACAGCTGGAACAGAGGGTGCAGTAGTCCAAAGACATGCCCCTCCCCCCAGGGCCCCCAGGGAGGGCCAGACTTGATCTCCCCTTCCCAATCACCCCCAGTGCCCCTGCATACTCCTCCTGGGGGATCAGCCCCGCCACCCGTGCTGTTCTCCATCTCATCTCAGGCCCACTCCACTCCCCCTCACCTCGGGTCCTGGGCAATGCGGGAAATGGAGGCCAGGAGGCTGGCTGTGGCTGCGGCTGGGCAGGGGGCTGTGGGGCTCAGGTCCCGCGGGGGCAGGAGGGGGTGCACCAAGAGGTTGGCCAGGAAGGCCTCAGGCTGGGAGCAAGAGAACAGGGTGTCAGAAGTGAGGCCAGAAGGGGAGGGAGGAGGTCTAGGGAAGGCCCGGGAGCAAGCTGGACCAGGGAGCAGGTCAATACAAACAGTGAGTTGGAGGGGAGAGCCTGGGGGTGGTGAGGGCAGAAGAGTAGGCCAGGCTGCAACTCACCAGAGGTGAGGAAGAGTCACTGAGCACCCCCGGGGTGGGGGGACTGCGAACAGAAGTGGCGCCCCAGGCTGCTGCATCTTGTTGGACCCTGCCCCGAAGGTGCCCCAGGAACTTGGAGCTGTGCCCTGGGGGGCGCCATTGTGGATGCACCAGGGAGAACCTCATCAAGGAGAGCTCGGTCTTTCCATCCTCCGCACGCTGAGAGAGAGAGGCCTCTGTCTGTCCTGCCGAGAGCCACTGAGAACAAGAATAGTCAACCGTTCACATCCTGTGGACACTGCTTTTATAGCTTCCGTGGGAGCCTTGCGGGGTAGGCGTGACAGGAAACACTAGCCCCGTTTTCCAGGTCAAAGAACAGAAGCCACGATGGGGACTTGCTCAAGATCAACCAAAAATACAGCAGCAAAACAGGACCTGGGTCTAGAGCCAGCACAAGGGTAGGGCGCAGGCTTAATGTTTTGCCAGCATGTGCACGATGGACCCCAGGGCTGGCTGGCCTGACCGCCTTATGCCAGCCCCGTCTACTGACCAGCTCATTTCTCAGCCTCTCTGATGGTCTCCGCTCCTGTTTACTGGACTTACAATGTGCCAGGAACCCTGTTAGGGTACTGCACACATCATCTCATGCAATCCTCACAGCCCTGTGCATCGGCTACGGTCACCATCCTCATTTGACAGATAAGGACACTACCACATGGCAAGTGACAGGCTCCAGGTCACAGGTGGTCAGTGATAGAACTTGGGGTGGAACCCAGCTTTGCTTTAAGTGAGGCAAGCAAACCCCTATCCAACGACAACCCCACACAGCCAGGGATGGGCTCTAACCTGAGGGTGGCCGTGACGCTTCACATCCATCAGGGCAAAGGAACAGATGTCCCCAACTCCAGCCACATCCACAGTGAAGTGATGAAAAAAGTCAATGATCTCCAGGGAACGGGGGCAAAACCAGAACAGTAGAAACAGCGGAGTGAGGAGAGGAGACAGGAGCTCCTCCAGGAGGGAGACCTGGGGAAGCAAGGTGAGGCTGAGAAAGAGTCGTTGAGGGGACTCGTGATCAGGACAAAGAGGTCTCCTAGGACGCCTGCCAGGGCCGGAAACCTCCAGAGTCACTTGCCGGCTCCCGGGATGGCCAGCCCGGAGCCCGTTTGCCCCACGCCCTCCCCCAGACCAGACGCTGGCGGCTCTGGGGTCTCCGCGGCCCGCTTCGGGCCGGACCCTCACCGCTCGGTACTGAAGCAGCCGCGCCATCTGCCGGTAAGCGCTGGCCTTGCCGGCAGGGCCGGGCTCCTCCGGGAGGTAATGCATGTGCGCCAAGGCCGCCTGCAGCAGGAACTGCGGGGAACGACCCCGGCCCTGTTCTTCCGGAATGAAAGACCTGGAGATCGAGATGGGGGTGCAGAAGGGGGCCCGCGGTTAGGAGGACGTGCGGGTGGGAGGCAGGGCCGGGGGAGAGGGGGCGCCCAGGGCGGGGTTGGGGGTGGTGGTGGTGTAGG